CTACTGGCTGCCTCGAGGTTTCGCCCAATTCGTTGAAGTGATGACGTATAACGCACACTGAGGAAGCCGGTCAGGGGGGATACGGACTACATAATCTGGTCAGCTTATACGCTTAAGTCTTAGTGAAACTCCAGTGAAACGTCAGAATGTTTTTTGTCAGTCTTCAACTGGTGGACCTCAGCATTGCTTACCTAATGTTCCCACGAGATGTGGGAGCACTCCGTAAGCATCGGTGATCAAAGACGACCAAGTGTTTAATGTCTCCTGTGAACTGATCCATACAGTAACTGGTCTTATCACAGCGTTAGACACCCTACCTTTTACTGACAGGCTGATAACCTCCAGTCTGCATAGCTGGTTGAACCTCTGAGATGCCACACGGACATTGCTGGTGGTGTGACCACCAGAGATGACACTGCCAAGGTTAGTGTACCTCTCCACCACTTCCAATCCCTATTCGGTGATAGTTGAAACCGGCAGCGTATCGGTCCAGTTCTGCTATATTGCTTTACACTTTGAAGGTGCGACGCACGTACGAAGCGCGTAGCGCTGTGCACCAGTCTATTCAGTATTGTTTGCATGATCACTGTGCCGGGCCCAAGGAGAGCTCTACCGCCCGCATGTTCAAGGCTTGTTGGTCGTCATCTGGCAGAACTTCCACTTCATGAGTCTGAGAAACGGAGTCATTCTTGATCTTATTGTCTACTTATCTTACTTTCATAGCGAACTCAGGAGACAGCTTTCCGTAGACCCTTATCCGGCCTCGGTATTCAAGGTAGACTTCAGAATAGTAAGTAGTTTTCCCGGCATTACCTTCGCGGATAGGCAGTACCACACGCCAACTCAATCAACCGAGTCAAACACAAAATGGGACATGTGCCCCGGAGTTAGCATATTCCAGCTAGTTCGTTTGTCCAGTGGCTTTTGTAAGCGACTGTTACGTTGGCATGCGGTCGATTGAGCTACGGTGAGTGCCACTTCTCGACAGTATTGAACACAGTATACCTAATGTCTCTTTAAGCAGAGTATAAACTCAGTTTCACTAATCTCCTATGACGCTACTGAGAGGTCGATGGTCCCCGTTCCTCGAGCCAGCCATTTAAGGCAACAGCCTACTGGTTATTAGCACGAAGTGATTGGCACAAAGCACGTCCTTCACTTGTTGTCCGACGACAAAGTACAGCTGTAGGTCAGTGGTCTATCAGAGTCCGCCTCGTGTTAGGCAACACTCGATTAATAAAGGCGCAAGCCCTGATTACGTAAGTCATCTGATACAATCGAACAATTTGCACAACATTTCCTAAACTTTCATTGTTGTTATGTTACCGACCTCTATCCGTTACAGCTTTGCAGTCACACTACATAGTGGGACGGGCTTCTAATAGCTTCGGTCGGAGGCCATAGGAGATAAACGTCGAACCTACCCACTCGCTGAGTATCACTAACCGTCAGAATTCCGTCGCCAATGTTCTGTCATTACTTTTCTTTTGTGCTCTCACTCATCTAACTGATGAGCTAGTTCTCCTGATCATCAACAACCATTGGCGTGCACTTCTACTGGCTCTTCGCCACCATAAAGCCATTATTTGAGTAAAGCCACTTTAGGGAATGGGAATAAGAATCGAAATGTTGATAGACTGGATGTAGGACTTAAACACATTAGAAATGGCATACAAGACTTTCCCTTCACAAATTCCAGATTAGTAAAAAAGAACAGCACTTCAATAGTTGGTTTAAGACTGAGACAATGAAACTGGCCAGTCAGTTGTATGTTACTGAAACGGAGAAATGCAAAATTTTAACCAAACACCACTCGGAGTTCTTAACCCGGTCACAATGGAATGTGAATGTGGCGATATTGAGGCCTGATAAAGGAAAATGAGTATTTATACTGGAAAACGGTTCGAGAAATGTTTATAGTTCTAGCTAATACGAGTCGCTTGTTTCACAATGTGACACCTCGTTACAGAATCGAAAATGTCTAAATCGCTAATTGGACTGATGACACAAAAACTGTGGCACTGATTCACCCTCGTGAACCTCGACCTTTCCATATGTACGGCCTACCGAAGACCCATATGGCCTCCCCCTGCATCTATTCGTTGGTCGGCGCAGCGTATCACAACTTAGCAGGATTGTTAACTGTACTTGTTGAACCTCTTCGGCGTAAACTAGCCGCACACAGTCTGAAACATACGCTTGAATTTATTAACAAGACACGGGACTTGAACGTAGAAGGAAAATACATGGTCTTGTTCGGTGTGTGTTCATTATTTACCAATGTTCTGTTATAAATGACTGGACCTAATTGGCGCACACGCCGAGAAAGTTGGGTTCTGCGCTCACTATCTGAAGTCACTACTATGTTTGCATGAAGGACGTTTAGTTTAGGCTCAACAGCACCTTGTACCGACAGATTGATGGGGTGTCTATGGGCAGTCCACTTGGGCCTGTCTTGACTGATGTCTTCACAGGTCACCTTGAAAACATTAAGTTACATCCTCACGTACAACACGTGCATTTCTACAGTCGTTACTTAGACGACACGTTCTTGTAGACACGGCCAAACGAGCAGAACGCATGTTGTATGCTCTAAACAGCTGCCATCTCGCGTCACATTCATAGCTGAACACGATTCTGGTGTCTTCCATTTTTTGGATGTTAGCACGAAAAAAAACCAAATTGGAACACTCATTCGATCTGTGTAACGCAAACCTACCTGGACAAGACTGCAGCTTAATTTTAATAATTTCTGTCCTATGAATTGCAAACGTGATCTGGTTCGTACCACTTATGCAAGAGTTCGCCAGATCTTTTCTGAGGAAACGATCTAATGTGAGCTACAACGTGTCTCCTTCACACTGCAAAAATGCGAATATTCTGGGAAGCTCATAACACGGCACTCAAACGCGAACAGGAAAACTAGAGGCGAACTGGAGACCGACATCCCTAAGAAGAAAAGTATTCAGAACCCTACCATTCACATGCCATAGAAGTGACCGTAGGTTCCGATGTCGCCTCTGTCAATCCATGAAAAGTGTTGTTATGTTGCTGAGCTTGTACTTTTGCACCAATGTGGTAATTTGCTGTTTAATCTAATATGGACAGGCCAGATTCCCGAGTTACTGCCTGAAACATCTACCTGTTTCACTGTACTTGCGGTCGCGAGTACATCGGTCGAACAGTGAGGAGACTGTCGACCGTGAATTTAGAGCATATTCCACGAACCAGTGTCGCGAATGGTGCGAAGCTGTCCGCCAATTCGATCGCCCGATACCTCTTGGCTCTCACATGTGTGCAAACCCGCGTGAATTATTTAGGATAATCAACCAACAGAGCGCCGCCCGCCCGTTTGCAAACGTTTCGAAAATTAAGCGACTTAAATCCACTGTCTGTAAACAGAACGAATCTTCACCAGTCTCACCTTTAGGAGGCTGGTGACCATATTCCTCCGGACGAAGTCGGTCAACGTCAGGTGAACTTTAACTGCCATCGATTCACCAACAACATTACACCTTGATTGTCTCCGTATGCAACCTAACCCTTCAACAAATTGTATGTGAACCTCTGATAAGAATGCGCGAAGTATCTGAATTCAGATTATCCTGTCCAAATGTTGTCTCCTTTTCAAACACATTAGTGAGGTTTTCCTGATTGATGCCTCTGCATCCCTCCTGAATTACACAATGTCGCTTCAAATGAGAGCTTATGATGTTGAGAATGTCATGAACTCAGGTATAAAAATCTGGTGGAATCGCTTCTATTGGAAGATCCACTAGCATCATTCGACATCATGTTGTCGGCCGAGCGGCATAACCGAAGGTGAACTTTCGTCTACCAACGCCCTTCAGAATGACCGAGTTGCATAAACATATGTACGCCTTACGCAGAATTTCAACCATACATTCTTTCGGATAGTCCTCAACAGCAAATGCATTTTCGCACATCAATCGGTTCGGGTGACTCACTTCATCGAGTGCACAGGGAGATGTCACAATGGTCCCTTTGATACTACCTATTACTGAGTTTGAGTCATTATAGTTGTGCGTTGTCATGCAAATTTGGAACACTATTATACCTACAGCTCTTGGCTATCGACCCCTATGACCGGTTGTACAATTTCAGGTGAACCTTTGCTAACGTCTTACACCATTCATATACAGATGGAGTTAACTTGACTCTTTTTTAACAAATGCCGGTCTGTAGTCCAAAGGTAACGGGCAGGGCGACCCTCGCAGTATCCTTGGCCCACGTGCGACCGGTTTTGGTTGCGCGGCAACAAAGCGTCGGTACTGTGTACCGGCGTACTGCTGATGCCTTGCCTTTCTAACAAATCCGTCGTTGAATATCTTCCTCACATGATAACTTGTCATCCGTAAGAGAACTACGGTTGATTTTGTTGGCAATAGAGCCCTAAATTCCAGAAAGCCGCCTCAAAACATACATGCTAAATCCTCTTGTACAGCGTTTTACTCATTTGGAGGTAGTGACATGGTGTTCATTTTCCAGTGTAAGAAATTTTCCCTAAGACAACCATTTTGACTATCATTTCATCCTCGGGAAATGCACTTCGTCGGAAAATCTATGGTAGTATTCGTTTTTGGATTTACCCGTCACAATGACTGCCAACAGTCACAAGATACATTTGCCTGCAATGGGGCTTAGGCGGCATGTGCTTCACCACTTATGCACCCCATATCCAGTGTGGACGTGAAGCAACATGCCTCCTGGTCTTAATCCTTCGGATTTACATTGAATTGGACTATATGGGTGAATCTGTACATGCTGCAGTGCAATCCACTCATTGTCTCTTTGTAGATGCAGACGTTCTGTGGCTATTCGCTGTTACGGTGACAGACAAATCTTGAAACGGGTGTCGTCAGACATATATATGATTGTCTTGACCGGTTTTACTTCCCTCATATCCACGTGTTTTACTGAATACATTGGGCACACGACATATCTCTTCACACTTAGTTTATTTACTTTTTTTATCGCAGACCTCATAGAGATGCATCCAGAAGTAAGCATGTTCCATCTGGCGACTCACGTCCTGCGGAGCCTGTTCGTTACACTAGGATAACATGCGCCTCTGCCCCTGGCTATTATCGCTTCGACTACACAGTACGTGAGCTCTGATTTGATGTTCTTATCCCGTTTTCTTTTTTAGTTCTATATAATGTAATTCTATTTATTGTCTAGCTTCTGGCATCGTGTAATCCTTTATCTGTATTTTGACCTATTCCTGCTAAGTATCTTTTGCGATTGACCGTCTTCCGCCTGCCTAATAGCATTCTGCCTAATTGGACCATACTGCCATCAGAATATTACGTCAGTAGCCTCCAAGCTCATATCTCTAGCCGCTGCGTGTATTCCTGGCCACTGTCTTTTAATGTGCCCTTGTGCCTACCGAGCCCTTATGTTTCAACGTTTGCACCATTTTTCTTTTCGGTTATTGACCACTGACTCCAGTTTACTCCTTACAGGCAACCTCAGATTCTATCATGATCTATTTTCCACTGCTTTCTACTATCTTGATAGTTTATGTGGCGACCATGCGTGAATTTTTCGATCAAATCTGACGGCTTTTTCTTCATCACTTTGTCCATGCCTTTAGTGGGCCGGTGGCGACGAGAGGGTTACATGCTTGCGGTGTAATCTGGATATCACCGGTTCTAATCCACATAGGTGCGGGCGACCTCTCGGTGTAACCAGCTTTCGCGCAACTTACAGTGCTCACATGGCATCAAAGCTTCGGTATAATGTGCCGGCGTACTGCTGCTGACTTTTCCATGTTTTCTTATGGGTTTTACCGGGATTGTTTCTATTAACGCAGTGCAGGGACTAACCGATCGCATTCAGAGTTTAACCTTTCCCACACAATCAGCCACAATGGGTGTACTACTCGCAGCTTTGGGCTCCGTAGGGCCGGACAACTGTGTAATCACTTTGTTGAAAACCTTCCTCAAACGCTGCCGTCTGATCGACTGAGGGTTCTTTATACTTACCGTGTTGACGATACGGTGGTTCGTAGTTTACCCTAACTAATTACTTGGTGGCATCCGATTCCGGATTTGCTTGTCACATGGGGACAGCCACGGGACGCCTGCGACTACAGACGGACCATAGGTGACTTGCGCTGCGCCACCTACAGCTCCATCCACGCACCCCATATCCAGCGTATTCCCGAAGGTATAAAACCGAGAGGCATGTGGATGGGAGCCATGTTTGGTCAACGAAGCCGGCCCACACTCCTTCAACACGCACAGCAGTAGTATTCCAGTCAGTCTAGTTTAAGAATCATGTGTAGCAGACGTATTCAAGGTTGTGGTTGGGCCGTAGCCCGCTCCACACTGGATGCATGGAACCACTCTTTGAGCCTAACACCGTTACGAAGATAGTTCACCCGTCTCCCCAGCAACGACCAACTGTCTTCTGGAGCCAATTTAGACGAGTTGAAGGGTGCTAGACAGGTAGGCGCTTTGTCAGCATTCACATCAAGCGCAGTCACACTAAAGTTATCAAGCAACAGCCAACGCCTGAGATGCACGAAACTCAGCACGCAGGCACACTTACAGACTAACTGCAACGATCCACACACACATACCACCTTAACTGCCTTAATGACCTGGCTTAATAAATCAAATGAAAGCCGACGCGGCCTATTTACGATAATTGCGCTGATGCTGACCAGATAATCAGCTGACTTGTTGTCTTTTGGATACTGACCCTGCTTAGTAACGTTGATGGCCTACCCATACCCCTTGGCTTAGGCACTCGCGGCCGCATGTGCTGCAGCACCATGCGCTTGACGTCGGTGGGCTAATCTCTATCAGCTTCTGTCGCTTCCGTACCCGACGTTTTCCTCCGCATACAGCAGTGATTTCTCATGCACCTAGACAACCGCCCCCTTAATATGCTATCGCTATTCGTGACGATCCCCTTCCTTCGATTCCCAACGCCTTATTCAACATTAGTTCGTGATAAACTCACCTTGATCATGTTTTGGTAACGTAACTTCAGTTTTCCTGCTTATCGCTATGCTTCACTAAGTTGTCCATATGGCAGCTGCTTGGGTATCTGGTTCAAATCCATGCGGCTGATATGCCCCAGCCACTTCAGGTGTCTCAGCATTAGTATACAGTCCAATGGTTACATGCCAATGTGGCTCAGGACTTCCGTGTCTGCAACTCGGTCACCCTAGACGATGCGTAGAAACCATCGTAGACATTGTTGATGGCACCGCTCCATATATCTGACGTCATTCCGGTCCACCGTCCACATTTCTCTGCCATATGTAAGAACGAACAACACCCCAGACTTGCATAACATCAGTTCCGTTCCAACGGTAAACTGGCGGTTGTCCCACACGCTTTTCCAACTTTCCAAACGCAGCAGCCGCCTGAGATAAGCGAGTACGCAGCTCGCTCGTTATCTGCAGGTCGGTTGGTTTTACGGTGACTAGGTAACGCAATTTTGTTGCGGTCCCTAATACGTCATCATCAATCTGCATTTGGGGCAGGCTCACGGAGTTCATTCCTAATGAAGGATGGATAGAACAATCAGTCCTGAATGTGTTATTGGTCAGTCCGAATTCCACCGCCGTCGAAGCGAGACCCGAAGTTATGTGCTGCAACTCATCCGCCCTATGTGCAAACAACACACATTCGTCGGAAGACAGAAACCCACGGATGGTTGTCTCACACACCATAGTTCTTGCACTGAATCAACGGATTTTCAACAGCCCATCATCATTCCAGTGAACCATACGGACACCTTACTCACATGCAGCATCAAAAACATAGGACAGCATTGAATTTCGGTAAATATTAGAAGGGCAGGAGCTAAGACACGTTGTTGCATCACACCAGAGACAAATAATAATAATAATAATAATAATAATAATAATAATAATGTGTCAGCTGTACGCCGTAACGGCGCTTCGCTGCCGCGCGACCACCACCAGTCGCGCGCGGGCTGTATATACCGCGAGGACGCCCACCCCTACGCGGATTCGAACCGGTGACCTTATGGTTGCAAAGCAAACGTGCATACCACTCGGCCACCGGCCGACATAATAAATAATGTGTCAGCTGTACGCCGTAACGGCGCTCCGCTGCGGGGCGACCACCACCAGTCGCGCGCGGGCTGAGTATACCGCGAGGACGCCCACCCCTACGCGGATTCGAACCGGTGACCTTATGGTAGCAAACCAAACGCGTAGACTATTCGGCCACCGGCCGGATGGCTGCGCCCTCATCGTCATACCACGGTGCAGATATACGACCAAACCTAGAAAATTACTCGAACACCCAAACTTACCCAACACTAGCCACAGTGCGTCGTGGTTCGCCGTGTCAAATGCATTGGTGAAGTCAACAAACAGTGAGTACAATGGTTGGTGTCACTCTGCATTTTTCCTACTACTAACGCGACTCAAACACCATATCTATGTTGCTGCTGTCCGAACAGAATTTGTATTGCTCTCCATCTGCGTGTGTTTCAACGACGTGGGTGACGAGGCGGTTCAGCAGGACTCGTGCGATCACTTTACTCCCACACGATAATTCGTGCAACATTGGTTACTCCCTTGTACGGTGCCTGCACAAGGGCACCTTTCAGGTCAGCCTACACTTCTTCTTCAGTCCATACGCGTTGCACCAAGTAGCGCAGCACATTTACCAAAGCGAGTGCGCCGTTTCAACATTTCTGGCAGGATTCCGTCTACCTCAGCGCTCTTGCCGTTCCGCAGCTGAGCAAGTGTTCTCTGCGTTTCATGCGGTGCCGGGATGTCGGCAAGACACATCTTCATCTTTTGCTGTTGCGGCTCGTGCAAAATAGCCCATTTACTCTCTTAATGGTTGTTCAAGAGACAGTGAAAGTGCGTTCTTCAGGTCTGCGTTATTTCTGCATTCTCTGCGAAAGCAGTGCTTGAAGTAACATCCATCAACTTCCTCAATGGCTGCAGCGTAGACCCATATCCTGCCTTCAAGGAGTAAAAGAATTCCTGATGTTGCGTCGTTCGACGTACCATTCCATATGGTTCACCTTCTCCGTCCACTATCCTTTCTTGATGTGACTGAGCTCTCTAGTTAATTACCGTCGAGGTTTGCGAACATGACTTTTCAATGCATCGGCAGGGTCATCCACATGCACGGCGAGCGCTACATTCTTCTCCGACATCAATGCGCCAATGGTCGCATTGTTGTCATCAAACCATTCTGGCCGCTTACAGTTTGCGCGCCCCATGATTTCTTCGGCAACATCAGTTAGCTGTTCATGGATGTGGTGCCACATGTCGCTCATTGAAGCGATAGGGTCTACATCGCCAAGGCGGGTAGCGATCGCCTTCTCCAACCAGCTTCATGCAGCGAGTCTAGTCCCGCTGAGTGCAGCAATGTCGATCCTGTAGCGCGTGATTGCCATCGCGACCAGTGCACTGCGTCGCTCGGGTCGCTCACTCGTGTTCTGGTCGAGTAGTGTGCGCACGTTCCAGCACCCGATGTTGAGTGCTTTGCGCGGAGGCGTACGATTGTAATGACGGACGATCGCTCGTGTGGTGACCTGTTTTGAAGGAAGTAGTTTGTTAGGCGAAATGGGGATGGGGAGAGTATGCACAGGGAAGAAAGAAGGGAGGTGTCAGTGGTAGCATGTTTTCGCTTATCCACCTCGCCATGTACAGCAGATAAGGTGACCTTTTTCCTAGTGCCACTGTGCGACGGTCGTTGCAGCATGGGATTATTCCTATTGACGTGATTCATGGTTCGAGGTTCGACTAATATACTGCCAGAGCGTTCACACATGGCTATAGAATTATTCTGGTCCTTATCCAAAACCTTCGATAAAATGTACACCAGAAAGACAGCTGGTCGTGCGCCATGAGTCAGTAAACCGACTCATTTGGTATTGTGCGTCCTGGCTCTTAGCCGTAAGAAAGTTTCAACCCAACTCTTACCCAGCGGTCGTCACGAGAAGGCGTCCATGACATGAGTCCACAGCAAAACATTGACAGCAGAGGGTCGACGATCTGTCAGGATCTAGCCACTACAAGCCTCTGCGCACATTAACTAATTGTAGACCTACTTAACCACATACCATTTGTGATCTTGCGTTGTCTCACTTTACTTTGCCTTATCGATTTCCAGACCGGTTGCTATTGTGCAACTACGCGTTTGGTTGAATTGGAGGACCGCTTTTGTTCTGAAGTTTTGGCGCGTCGCCTCCGTGCGACTGCAGGTCAGCCGGAACGAAAGCCACTGGACAGGCGCGCTTGGTTAGATCCGAGTAAGTATGCTCATTGTGTCCTATCCACAGGATGTTCTTCATTCAATCCTTGTATTTCTGAGGCCGCAGGTGATCATCCACCTTCATTTACACTTTGTTTTGCAGGCAGCCACAAACCCAAACGCAGTGCATCCAAATCGGAGACTAGACGCCGTATGGAATTTATTGCCGATAACGGAGACAATTTTATTACCTCAACTGATTGTCTCCTCTCATCTAGTGACTCTGACGTAGAAATTTCGTCATCTTCCTGTTCTTTCGCTGGTTCACGCAAGCCTCGTTTCTCAGTGAGCGCTTTTTTCCTTCCTGTTTTCCTCTTCATACACGCAACATTCATAGCTCACTTCAAGGCGATTCGGTATAACAGTACTCCAGCGACCGTTGGCCCAGTGTACCCCAACGTGGTGCATACGTTCTTCGTTCATTTGACCCTCCTGGCCACTTACTCGGACTCTAACAGTCACCAGTTCGAACTTACGTAAATATACAGCTGGTGACCGAGTAGTTCAGGCATCTGGTCTCTTCTCCTCAGGTTATCAGTTCGAGCTTGCGTAGGTGTGGGCGGTCTCACAGTACTTGTACTCCACGTGCAACTACTGCTGCTCGCTTGCTAACGTAACGTCCATACGATGTACCGGCTTACTGCTAGCCTCTTCACCTACTTGTCGGGGGCGGCCTCCCGGTATCCCATTCGTCATGCAGCCGCTGATATTTACCTGACAGTAGCTGAGGTGTTCCCCACTTCTAGCTAACGTGTATGAAGATGATGATGATGATGACCTGACAGTAAAGCGATGGCAAGAGGGTCTGGCCTGCTCCAGACACCAGACGTGGAAACTGGGCTGTAGGCTGATCCCTCTTGGGTCTGTCACAAGAGTGGTTAACTGCAACAAAAGACCAGGAGCGCTCTTGAATAAATATTCAGGGTGCTTGGGTCATGTGACAAGTTTTGTTATTGTCCACGTTTACTCCAGTTGACCGAAAAGATACCCCATAGTCCTCTTCCTGTATTATCATCTCACCAACGTTGTCCTTTATTGCTGTAGTGATCGAAATGCAAAGTTGTGATCCTGACCCATATCCATTACTATATTGTTTCATTTTCTTACGTAGACCGACACAGATGTCGCAATTACTGTACCGGGATTGTGACCATCCGTTCCATTGAACTGGATCGTTTTAAGTTAACTAAAGTACCATTTTGACTCTGGTTCGATGCCAATTTTTACGCGATCCTTTGTTTTGACAATCTGAGTTATATCACTCAAACACACAGCGCTGCATTGTTTTGGGATGAACACTGTGCACCACTGTTTTCGTCATAGTTTATCACTCATATTATCGTTTACGGCTCACCGGCTGACAAAGGATACACCTAAGCCACGTCTTCTTTTGCTTCCGCATCTTTGTCGATTCGTGCACTGTTTTTATTTTGCAAACTAGCTTGCACCAGTAGGGACTTTTCACATCGGCGACCTTTCCTCCATTTTCAGTCCTCCGCTAGCGCGTCGTCGTCTTTGGGTGAATCCGGCGAGACTATCCATTCCAAATATTCCAATAAGAATCGCAGAAAACACAAGGCCTCTGCTCGTTTTAAAAACTGCCCTGAGGAATGTAACTTACCGACAGATCATCCTGAAGCATGCGTGCTTGGCAATCGCCTCGGCGACGGCCATTCGATCGGACAGCGCAGCGTTCGTCAACAACGTGAGGTGGCGTACAAACTGTCCCATCCCAATCGGTTGCACCCTGACATCTGGCACAACGAACCACATGAATTCAATGATGGTCCGGCTTGTTCTTGCAAACCCAAGTATCGAATTGGTCCTCTTCACAACCAATACGAAGGCGAAATGGTTTGTTTTCTCATTCTCATCCGTTCATACGCACTTTCTATCATTCGCTAGCTCTTCATGCCGTTTTACATTACTTGTGTCCCTCATAATCTTCACTCTTTCATGTAAGCTTGCTCAGGATAGATTCTTTGTACCTTAATTGGCGATTTTTCATCGTCCACACTGCTTCCACGCGTTTGTTGCAACCTAGGAAGACAGTCACGGTTGTTCTCTCACTTAAAGGATGACATTTGTTGAGTTGCAAACTTGTGTTTCCACTTTTCTCGCCTTTATACTTTGAGTCCCTGGGCTGAAGCTGCCCTGATCGACTGGATCCCAGTCAACAGCCGGATGTGCACCGTTAGATTAGTTGGCTTGTTCCAGGCTTCGAAGTCGCGCGGGGACAAACGGGACCTGTTTGTCATTGCGGCCTATCGGCCAAAAACTGTAGCACTGATTCGGTGAAAGATGGTTTCTATCACCAATTTAACGATCTTCGTTGCAGAAGAAGCACGAATACTGTGTTGCTGGCTGGTGATCTAAACGCCCAAGTCGGAAAATTGTCCTCTGATGAGCTTCATCTGGGCGGCCAACATGGTATAGGCCACCGTAATGATAACATTGAGCGGTTTGTACAGCTGTGTGAAGATGCTTGTCCTTTTATCGCGAGCACTAACTTTCGACTTAACACCCGCAAACGAGTGACTTGGCGCCCACCAGCCGTGGACGCAAATCGATCATATCGCGATTGGTTGCCGCTGGAGATGCCTTGTTCAAAACTCGCTCGATTTGGAGTACCAGTGTGGACTCTGATCATGCTCATGTGAGTGTCGACCTTCGGGTACGTTACAGCGGACGTCCGCAACGTCGCTGTGAACGCAATGTCACCAGCCAACTGGAGAAGCCGGATGTTCTGAACGCGTATCAAAGTACGCTGGCATCCGGACTGAGTAAGCGCCTACCCTCGAAGATCACTACTTGCATATTTGTCAAACGTTACTATCAACAGGCATGTCTTCATATAGCAAATCAGATTGCCAACTTAGACATTGGGTCGCTACAAAGTCTCTGGAACTTATGGATGCTCGCAGGCATACTCCGGCTGGAAGCGAATACAATGAGACACGCAAAAATCTCAGGAAAATTTGCATGCTAGACTGAAGAGAGACCGCAGAGCCTGCTGGTCTCATCGTGCATCGCAAATGGAAACAGTCGCTGCCGTTGGTAATAATCGTAAGTTATTCTGCCTGATACGGGAAACAGGCAGCAGGAGACCTGGTGTTAGGGAGACAATAGGCGACGAGACTGGGTAGCTGATCCACAGCCTATCAAAACACTAGGAGCGTTGGGTCGAACATTTTGCAAGGCAGTTGAACCAATCTGGTATCGCTTTCTTTTTCAGGCGTTGAGTGCCCCTCTCCATGGCCATCTCCTTAGATCTGCCCTCACGCACAGAAGTCAAACTTGAGACCAGACTGTTGCCTAATGCCCCAGAGGCAGGTCGAACTCTCCCAGCCCTCCTCAAATTCGGCGGACCTGCTCTTGTAAATGATTTACACTAGTTGCTTGTGTAATTTTGGCAGCATGAGGCTGTCTTGACAGACTGGAGCCGCTCCGTCATTGTCACAATTTTCAAGAGAGGCTCCCGTTCGGAATGCGCCAGTCATCGAGGGATCAGTCTGATCTCAATTGCCTCTAAAGTGATTGCGTCTGCCGTTCTCCACGGACTGACTGGCGCTCGTGAAGGCCAGATCCGCGAAGAGCAAGCCGGGTTTCATCGAGTTCGGGGCTGCATCGACCACATCTTCATATTGCGTCAATTGTTGTAGCGCCGCCATGTTTATTGGCGACCCACCGTTGTCGTGTTTATCGTCATAAAAGGTGTCTTCGTTTCGTTGGATAGACGTGCCTTATAGGACTGTCTGCTGAGAAAAGGTGTGTCCGATAAATACGTAAACCTTGTCAAAGCGCTGTACTCGCATAGTTCAGGCAGAGGGAAGGTTTATGGCAAACTGTCGCTGCCCTTCAATATCTCTAGCGGTGTGAGACAAGGTTGCCCGCTGTCACCTTTCCTCCCTAACTTCGCTATTGATGAAATCATGGATGGTGTGGAGCTATCTCCTGGTGAGCGACTTTTTGGCTTGGAGTATACGGACGATATTGCCCTAGTCTGTGACAGCTCCCAAGCGTGCCAGACTGCACTGGACCGATTAGCACTGGCTGTCAATCGTTTTGGGCTTTGCTTTGCTCCATCGAAGTGCAAAGTACTTCTCCAAGATTGGCAGAGACCCACCCCTGCACTGATCCTTTGTGGTGATCACCTAGAAGTCATTCAGAAATTCAAGTACCTGGGTAACTATATTAGCGTCCGTGGGGTCGAAGATGAGGTTACGAACCTTAGAGCAAAAGCTCGAGGTGCTTTTGCCAATCTCTGTCACCTGTGGTGCAAACGCGACATCACTCTCACCCTGAAGAGCAAAGTTCATAATGCAGCTGTCCGTTCAACTCTCTTATACGGTTGTGAAACCTGGCCCATCAGGTCCACAGACATAAAGATGCTCGTCACGCTCGATCATCGCTGACTTCGCAGATTATCCCATGTCTAGTGGGAGTACTGCGTGAGCAACGAGCGTGTTATGCCTCGCGTATTTGGTGTAGGAAGAGCGAGTGATCCACTCAGCACAAGTCCGATGGTCGCGCCACGTATTGCGCATGCCAGCACGCCGATTCCCGCGACGTGCATTGTTTGCGCGCCGGGGTGCGGTTGGAAAAGGAGGAGGGGAGACCAAGCGATGACTTAGTAGAGAGCAATGGAAACCCTCACTTCAAAGTTGGCGTCGGTTGGTGCGTCCCGACTGCCTGGCTGGTGTCCTAAGGACGATGAGCACGTTTGGTTGGACACACTTGCTGATATGGCGAGGAGCAGGCCCCAATGGTGGTTGTTTTGTGAGTTTCTTTGTATGGCCCGTCCCTTTTAGATTCCCCCTCCAATTCCGATATCACACGAATTACACGGTATCACATTTAAAATTATATTACTTTCCTTTGAATTTTTTAGTCTAACTTTTCCGTATCTTATCTTTTTATTTTGCTTTACCTTAGCTGAGGTGTATTTCTCACTCTCAGCTAACGTGTTTTAATGATGATGCTCGCTTAATTTGGTTGCACTTGACCTCATAGCTCCACATAAATTGTGTCTATCAAAGTTGTTTATTTCATTGAACGACTCTTTTGAGATCGCTAGAGAGAGTCCTAGACTGTGACCAGGTTCTTACCATACATTGCTTTCGACTCTTGATTCCCCACATAATTTAAGCGATTTTATGAAAACAAACCCTAAATCAGTTTTATTGCTGCCAGTTGTATTCTGTACTGATAGCATATTTCATTTGCTGGCTTACCGAATAAACCTCCACGTCATGTCAACTGAGTGGTTCGAGTTTATACCCATTCCAGAAAATTATTCATCGGCAGGGTTCCAGAACTTGGTGGATTTTCACCTTGCAAAGGTTCTCTCTACACAAAACCATATGTCCGTAATAACACTGCGCTGTGGCAAATGTGACTCGCCACGAAATGAAGTCATTGCTCCTTGTTTTACGCCGCACATTGTATTCCAGAAACGTGGTGCTGAAATAGTGGGGCTGATTTAGCCCCTATTTGGTAACCGAACGAATGAAAGGCCTTTGGACTGAGTATTGTCACCTGCCCCCAATGTGTGCAATTCCCTGAATCCGCCCTTCTATCTTGCGTTTAGGCTATTCAACCAAAGACTCCGGATGGTGTCCCCTAAGTTAACACCCTACTTCGGCTTGGGCAACCGGATAGTATCTTTCCCTCCAACGAAACCATGAATTTTTCTGTGTTGTGTTCTGTTTTCCTTTTATAACAACCGTGCCTTCCCTTGATTTTCATGGTTTTGATGGCTCTATGTCTTTTCGTAGATCGCTGTAAACAACTCCATTTGCTTGGGGCATTTTATCACCTGAGTCTATAGCTCCGCTCTACAGTTAGCCCGTTATTTGCTGCAGCGTATAGCTTCCGCAAAACTCGTTCGCCCGAAATTTAACTCAATTTCTACTGCCTTTGCCCCCATAATGTGTCAGCTTATACGCCGTAACGACGCTTCGCTGCCGCGCGACCACCACTAGTCACGCGCGGGCTGAGTATACCGCGAGGATGCCCACCCCTACGCGGATTCGAACCGGTGACCTTATGGTTGGAAAGCAAACGTGCCGACCACACGGCCACCGGCCCCCATACCTGGCCAATTACCGTTGCTGTTGCTTTTGGTATCCAACGGATGATCGGAAACTGGTCGGAAGATGTGCGCGGTTATCTCGCTTCCAGCGCTTGTGTTCAGCTGTATGCTGCAGTGTCTTTACTAGGTTTTCTGGGTTCCGCCACCCAACTGCGTTCTAATACTAGTCACTCCCGCGTTACTGAGCACTCAGACCGTGCTAGAGCGAGGCGGCCGATTCCCCGGTTGTACTGTTGCCCATCATCTCATCTCTGCTTCTTTCGCTTTCAGTATGGTATTCGGCCATCCAGATCACTGAACCCTTGTGCGATTTGTTCTCTATTCCAGATGATCCCTCTGTGCGAACAAGAATCAAACAATCGAGATCGCCTCTACCACTATCGTATCATGGTCTCACCGGCCACCAATTTCATCCAACCAAACCCAACAACGATACCATTCAACGGACAAGAGTACACATTTGATGGATTTTCACTTTTCCTTCATTACAAACTTAACGACGTAAGTGTTTGACTCAGCGCACCTTTATTTGGATGGAATCTCTTCACTCTCTACATCATACAAATGTACGTAGGGTTCACCTATTCAACTTCTGCTCAGTTATCACTCGTAGCTATTATCCTGTCGGCGTTAGGGCCACGGTGGTGTTTGATCTACATTCCACTTCTGTAGGATTCGTAAGTGGTGCGCTGTGCTTACGAGTCCTGCTAGAAAGAAACGACTGTTCAGTCTTGTGTTTGCCGTCTAGCTGAATCCAGTCTTCAATGAATCTCCTCAAATAAGCTTGTTGGGGACGGATATGCATCGTTGTGTGTGATGTCATGATTGCCCGCACAGCACAGCAGACATGAGCCATGGAGTATCTGAAACGCATTTTGTATCCTCCAGCTTCCATTTGTGTATTTCAACGATATCTGAGGAATGGCGTGTTCTTTTATAATCCCAAACGTTATGTCTGTTCGTTATTCAAGTCTATCACGCACGTAGTTTCCACTTAGATGTTTTATCATCTTTGCATATGGTGCCCTCTTCTGACTAGTTTACCTTGGACTTTCTCTGTACTTCTCCACCTTATGGTTGCAACTATTGCAGTTGAACCCAGTATCATTTTTATGCTCCTATCCTCACGCTGTCCTCTTTCACACCCTTTCTGCCTATGCTCTAGCCTTCTCCGTGCCAAATATTGCGTTTTAATCTTCTGTACGATATTTTTCCAGTTGAAGAGGATTTTCCAGAGGTGAGCTCCAATTCCTGTTTGTCGAGCTTCCAAACTGATAAGTCTCCTGGGTGGCATTAACATACCTTTCTCGCCCTCATGTGCTTCCAGCTTTTCACCGTTCGCTCATTGGACATATTGACACAATATCTCTTCACTGAATTACTTGAACTACTGGATCTTTCTTGGAAGCCATACGGTGTAACGGAAGGATGTCCGGTGGTGCATCTTATGCCTCGTTTCGTCCGTACACGGGACACGTCACTCGCAGGGTCTGCCTCGACAGAGGGAGCCTCGTCTGAGAACATTGGTGAGATGTTACCATCAAGCGTAGTCCTCGAATACCTGCTGCAAGAGGCCCTTACTCCGGTGATTGATACCTTAGAGTTGGCTTCCATTCAGCGTTTTAACTCTTCCCAGTGGTCCAGTTATATTGCTCCTCTCCGTGGGACTTTGACGACGTTTCCCGGCAAAGTAAGCCCCTAAGCTGTTCACTTTCCTGTGTTCTCTTATTTATGGACGTGTTTTATTTAGCAGCCCAACAAGGACCCCGGTTTGCGAGATGCTCACGTTGTCTTGTGCTCTTTGTAGTTTATGTCCAACTTTCTGCCCTTCTCCTTACCACCGAAGTCGATACTTTTCACAATTTTCTTCCGGCCCCACCCTTCTGAAGCGCCTATGGGTCCTTGCACTTTTGGGAATAATATTCTGGATCCTTTTGACTCTCAGTTTACGCATATACGTTTTTTGCACTCAGATGATGTTCTCCATTTTATCTGGAAACATTTTCTGGACCTCGCTCTGATTTCCTTTAGACACACGGGGTTTCCTTCACAGAAACTTCATCATTAACTTAGTCACTCCACCCACTCTCTTGTTCCTTCAGAAACCATCTACTATCCGAATCGATCAGCTAGATCGTCGTTCTCTGGCGGGTGAACCAGCGTCCGGAGTGCTCATATATCCGCTCATTGTCCACATGACTTACACCCCGATGAAACTGAGCCTCACTCGTGAACCCAAATACAAATGTGTGCTGAAAAACTTCATGAAGCTGCAGTACCTCATGATGAACAAACCACGCATCAGTCCAGCTGATAGAGCTCAGTTAGCTCAGTTGGCAAACGAGCTCGAATCTATGGAACATTCTGGGTGAGTTATCCTCTATGCGTAGCTATGCCTTGTGGAACATCGATTATGTTAACACTCGCCCGACTTCCTTTACAGGGTTCATCGGCGTGAAATCACGGTTGAATTAAGCTGCGAGGGCTTCTATCGTACTGGAATTCGCCCAGATGTCTCGCAACACGCACTCAATCTAGTCTCACTAATTTCCCATTTGCGGTTTCACAAGTCTTTGGGAAGTCTGGAAACGCGGTTGGGTTATGAATTTAAGGACAAGTCATTACTTCACGTAAGTCCCTCCACATTTACATCTCATCTCACTGAGCCTTGTTCAAACACATTTTACACCGCTTGTGTCCCGTTTCTCGCCCGCTCTACGTAGCAAGCTCTCACACATCCGTCGTACCGACGCACTAATTTCGGCACGAATCAGGATCACTTTCAGAATTCGCTTGTCAGCTGTGGACCACGAATAATCGAGTATGGGGACAAACTCCAGTTATACAAGGCTTGGCGCAAAAAGGGGCTGACGAAGATGATCCAGGTCATGTCGGTGTTACCCAAGATGCATGAAGAACGCTCGAATATTTACGGCAACGAGCGGCTGGAATTCCTTGGTGATGCTGTAATTGAAGTGATTTCTAGGTAAGGGTTATATCTTGTTTTTCACTGTTTATTACCTTTTCGTATGTTCTGTCCTTGTCTCTCTAATCAACCAAACGAGCGCTTGCACTTGCTACCAGCCGTTCTCAATACCTGGGACTAAGCTGGAATTGTGGCCCGGAGCGTTTGGCGTACCACTGTAAACAATCTCAATTGAAATATCCTAGTCCTTTTTGCTGCATCTTTACAACACTGAAAGATGATCTGCCCCATGCATATGCAGATGACCGATAGGGGCTCATCTGAAAGAGCAGCTAACCTGAAAAAATCCAACACATTTAGTTTTCAGCTAGGCAGAAGAGTGCCTAAATCTTCCTTTTTTATAGTTGTAGCCGATTCTGCAAGAAGTGCAGATGAAACAGTTCCATCACAATAGTGTCACATCACATGAAGGATCTTCCGAGCGTGTGCCGATTTGACCAGTTAATCAGTAGCGCAACGAATACCAGTCGAAATTTTACCTTCAAATCACAGGACCTGACTGTTGTTGCCCGTTGTAGTTCACATGTACGAACATCTTGTCCTATGCGCGGCGCATAAACAAAGCCCCGGAAACCAACAGAAACACGATGACCTACATCGCGCAGATCAGAACACTCTTCGGGTTCCGTCTACTATCTCTTTCACTCGTTTTTCCTCACTCTGCATGTACTGACTCAGTCCTGATTTACGACCATGCTGCAAACCTCGTTTGGGTTCACTTTCATGGTCATTTTCTCGTTTGACATTCGTTTGGGAGAATACGCTCTTGAGGTGGACGTTTGCCCCGACCAACCCGTTTGCGTGGATGGTGCATAGGTATAGGGCGGCGGTCGTTTGCGACTGATTTCATTTGTTGCACGCACTATGAATCACCTAATCACGGATCGCCTCATTAATCTAGCCGAATCTTCGTTGGTTTGATAGTTTCCACTTCTTTGCTTCCAACTGAAATTCTATCCTTGTCTCTCTAGCACCATTCTGCATACAATCACAGCTGCTTGAACTCTGGTGTGTTTCCCATTCTTCTTTCAGTATACACTTGTTTTTCATGTTTCCCGATCTCCCCGAGGGGAACCTGGATGCCTATCGCCAGGCCGTGGTGCAAAACCAACATTTGGCTGAATTGGCTGTTGTAAGTTTTTAAAAATACCCGTATATTTCTAAGATACACTATCGTCTCACTACCTTGCTTGTTACTTACTATTCCCTCTCTTCACTTGGTATCTCCACCGATGATCGGCGGGCGCCACCACTTTTTCTTATTTTTTTCCACCGATTCGTGTCCCCACGCAATTTACTGGTTCGCCGACCAGTGAACCCAATGGATCCGCTTTCCACTCAGTCGATCCGACATCGTTTCTCCTGTCAGTAGTCACCTGACCGCCGCATGCACATTTTCACTGACCACTTGACGCTAATCTTCACACAACGCTTTGGATTTGTTTGCACCGATGTCCGGGCATCATGCATAGCTCGGGTGCACCAACATCGGTGCTACTAGCCCACCACTCAATAACTTGACCATTTCGTCACCACAGCGCATCGTTTCCCATGCATATGGTTTTCTCATGCTGTGTCGCTTCGACAGTTTGCTCTGTCGATATTCATAACCATCTTCTGGCAGAAACCTTTTTCACTGTTGTCTTATGTTTTCTTTCCCACTACAGCGACTCGGAATTCACAAGTTCCTGCTATACACTCATAGTGTAGACTTTTGCTACGATTCCACGTTCATCTACGCCCGGTCGGACGCTTTTGAAGCGTTGATGGGTAAGCAATGCAATATCATTCCGCTTCCACTGTACTCTTTATTTCTTCTCCATCAGCACATTTCTTATGCATATGTTTTCGTCTTCCATTAATCGCCGTTTTGTCGAACTTAGTTTTGGTATCTTGTCAACGATGGACCCAGGTAGACCACATCATAACTTTCAGGTGACCTGGTTTCATCTGTTCCTGCCGCTTGTTCTCGTGCATGTGTATCGACTCCGATCACTTTCTGGCATTCGGCGAATTTTCCATGCAATTTGGCGAAAATCGCATCAGACATTTAGCAACGGAGGAACCGTGTCAGTCTACGGCCAGACAAGCGCATAAGGATGTCATAAGTAATGCGCTCCTAAACACTTACAAAACCATTCTATCTATGCTGCCATACGCGCGACACGTAAAATTCTGCTCGCGACAGTTTCAGTCATCGATGCCGCCTTTTTTTACACGATAGCTATCTGTGATCATGTGTCTTGCAGTTGTACAGAGTTAACTTATACTTGCTCCCACAATGAAGTATTGCTATGTGACGTACACCTTGCTCTTGTGTAATTGATTTTGGTGTTTTAGGTTTTAGGTTTTATACTCAACCCTTGTATTGATTCTCATTGCTATTATCGTCATAGTTTTGACAGGACAACATCAATTCAGCCTGGTGTTTTGATGCTGTTGATGATATCACTGATGACATCCATAATAATCAGTTCGGTTGAACAACTATGATCCGAGCACCGCAGTGCGGTGGATTCAGTTGCCACGGCTCACATCGCCAGAATAACAATAAATAACAACGACAAGGAACCAATGGGGAACGCAAATAGAGCACCAAGGAAGTGGAGTCAAGAAAGAATTACGCAAAACTAGTCGGATTGGTAGATTAACACCTAGATGCAGTAAGCTGAATGCAGGAACACCACTGACTGCGCAGCTGCGCCATGTCTGATAGAGTCTTCAGCCACTGATATGGAACCTCCTGAGGCTCCCACCCACGGGGACGACATTCACCGGCCTGATCAAGTCGCCCAGTCAGCTTCTTCATGCCTCTATACTACGTCACGGACTGGCCACCTCTCGGTTTAGCCCAACTTGCTGCAGCCACGGAGTATAATGCGCACCGACGAAACCGGTCAACGGGCATACAGAGGACATGACCTGGTCAACGTAAGCGGTTGAGCTTAAGCAAACACTCAGGTGAGGCGCCAGAAGAAACCTACTGTGGGACCTCAGCATTGCTCACCTAATGTTCCCATCAGACATGAGAAATACTTCACAACCACCGTCCAAGCGTTTAGTGTCTGCTGAGAACTGGCCATATCTCTGATCCATACAGAATTAGCACTTTTATCGCAGCGTTATACACCCTACCTTTCATTGACAGGCTAATATCCTGGCCTCTACATACATGGCTCTGTTTGTGGGAAGCCACATGGGCTTTGTTGATACGCAAAGTAACTTCCTTAGTGGTGTGACCGCCAAGGTAAGTGCACCAATCCACCACTTCCAGTGGCTGTTCGCTAACAGCTGAAACCGGTGAGGTATTGTTCCACCCCGGATAAGCGTTTGCAGATTTTCTCTTCGTCATTCGGTTAAACTAACATACTCAACATCAACATGCTGAACACAGGAATGTAGACGCTGCACACCGTCCATAGAGGACTCCGTCCGACTTATTGCCCATAGCTTCTAATTGAGAGGTAAGCGGAGCCAATGTCCAGATACGAGGTCGCGCACAGGCTTACCGCGGAGCACGTGAGCTGTCTGCTGCATGCGAAGGTCACCAGCACGAGCGTGGAACGACCTTCGACTGTTTTGCCAAATTTGGGAATCGGGTGCAAACTGATTGGCCAGCAAATACAAGCCCGAGTCAACGGAGGCGAACCATTCTGCCAAATATGGAAAATCCGTGGGACGGAATTAACTCACATTGGCTGAGAGCCAAACGCTTCCAAAATTAGTATGTTTCGTTCACCAATAAATAGAACTGACCTATCGTGTAGAATAGACTCCCTGTTTACCGAGCCTTGGCCTTCTGTATCCCGTCGGTTGGTTGGGCGCGTGACTGAGCAATCAGGCGGTCGTAGTCTCGCAGGCGCAGAATAGCAGCAGTGCAGCAGTACGAAGGCAGCTTTACAACAGTGGCGACAGGAGTCAGAAGAACCCAAAGATGTCAGTCAGTTTTGAACAATTGCAGACTCTGTTGCAGCAACAGCAGGCGCAGTTTGAGAAAGCACAGGCCAAGTTGATCGAAACTCTGACCAAGAATTTGTCACTACAAGCAGGCTCGGTAACAGGAACAAGTGAACGTTGCCCCTCAGCAGAAACCTTGACCCAGCAAGTTTGTGAGTTCCGTTACGATGCCGATGCCGGTATTACCTTTGAATCGTGGTTCCATAAATACGAAGACCTGTTTCGCGTTGATTTAGCCGGTGCTTCAGAGGACAAGAGAGTTCGCCTCATGCTGCGGAAATTGGGTGCGGCCGAGCATGAAAAGTTTATGAATTTCATCTTGCCGAAAAAGAGCACTGATTTAACATTCGATGAAGCGGTTGCTACTTTGTCCCAGATATTTGGAGAGCAGTCGTCATTATTCAATATCCGATACAAGTGCCTGACAATGACCAAGCGAGACGACGAAGACTGGGTTACTTACTCGAGTCGCGTAAATCGTGAGTGTGAACGGTCGCTGTTTCACAAGATGACAGCTGATCAGTACAAGTGCCTTATTTATGTGTGTGGTCTTCAAGCAACCAAAGATGCTGATGCCCGAACAAGAGTACTGAGCAGAATTGAACAAAATCCCGAGATCACACTGCAGGAAGTGACGAACGAATGCCAACGGTTGATGAACTTGAAGCATGATGCTGCGATGATCCAACAGTCATCCATCCAGAGTAGCCAGGACATCATTTGCAGGGTCAGCCGAAGTCCTCAGAAAGAATCGGTTCATGTGAGTTCACCACATTCTAAACCCTCTTCTGCTTGTTGGTTTTGCAGGGAATGGCACTTTGGTCGAAACTGCCCGTTCCGAAATCACATTTGCAATCGCTGTGGTAAGCGAGGACACAAAGAGTCGTGTTGTCTTGCGAAGCGACCAACAATGAGCGGAATACGGCGTCGAATCCCGGTGCGCTTCCGATGTCACAACGAGGCCAAAACTGTGACGGCGACTTTCAAGGTTGACGGTGTCAGCAGGCGTAAGTTTACAATGTTGAAGATCAATGATAAAGAAGTTAAGCTGCAGCTGGATACTGCGTCAGACATCACTTTGATTTGTCGAGACACATGGTGTATGCTGGGACGACCACCGCTTGTCCACACAGACCACACAGCACGAAACGCATCCGGCGGTATTTTGAAACTTCTCGGAGAGTTGCATTGTCAGGTCAGTTTCCGTGATCAGCACATTCGTACAACCTGTTTTGTGACAGATCAACCAGGATTGAATTTGCTGGGTCTCGATTGGATGGAGGAATTGAAATTACTTGACCAGTCAGTTAACAGTATATGCCAGAAATTACAAGTCGAGAAACCCGCAGAGACGCAGAATATGAACCTCGAACTTTACAGTCAAATTGCAGAACTGAAGCGACGCCACGAAAGTTTGTTCCAACCCGGTCTTGGATGCTGCCGGATAGCCAGAGCTGAGCTGAACCTCAAACCAGACGCCAGACCAGTCTTTAGACCAAAACGTCCAGTGCCGTACGCAACACAACCAATAGTGGAGTCTGAGTTAAATCGGTTGCAGTCGGAAGGCATAATCGAGCGCGTACATTACTCAGAATGGGCGGCACCCATCGTTGTGATAAAGAAAGGAAACGGCAAGGTACGTATTTGTGCTGACTTTTCAACCGGCTTAAATTCCATGTTGGAGAACCACCAGTACCCTTTGCCTATACCTGAAGATTTGTTCACCAAGCTTAACGGTGGAAAATGGTTTGCGAAACTCGATCTAGCTGATGCTTACTTACAAGTTCCAGTAGCCGAGAACTGCAGAACACTACTGACGGTCAACACGCATCTGGGTCTTTTCCAGTACAATCGGTTGCCATTCGGAGTGAAAACTGCTCCCGCCATTTTTCAACAAATCATGGATACGCTGCTGAACGATATCCCTGGGGTCGCAGTATACCTGGATGACGCATTGATTATGGGGTCTGACCCACAAGCATTGCTGGCCACGTTAGAGAAAGTGCTCACTCGTCTAGAAGAAGCTGGCTTCCGGTTACGAGCGGAAAAATGCAATTTCCTGATGGAAAGTGTCAAGTTTCTCGGGTTCATCATTGACAAACATGGCCGACGTCCGGATCCCGCTAATATAGAAGCCGTCAAGCAAATGCCACCACCAAGGGATGTTGCCGAACTTCGTTCATTTCTCGGTCTTATAAGTCATTATAGTGCCTTCCTGCCAAGTCTACATCAGACAAGAGGTCCTCTGAACGAGTTGCTGATGAAAGGGAAAGAATGGCGATGGACAAAGGAGTGCCAACAATCCTTTGATATAGTTAAAGCAGCGCTCAGTTCTGATTTACTTTTGACCCACTTCAACCCAAACTTGGAGATTGTTGTTGCTTCGGACGCCTCCAATTATGGGGTAGGTGCTGTCATTTCTCACGTGTTCCCAGGAGGAGAAGAGAAGGCCATTGCGCACGCAGCACGGTCGCTGACAGTGGCGGAGAAAAATTACAGCCAGATTGAGAAGGAAGCGCTGGCGATTGTTTTCGCAGTGAAACGGTTTCATAAGATGCTATATGGTAGACATTTCAAACTGATCACGGACCACAAACCTCTACTCTCGATATTTGGATCAAAGAAGGGTATTCCTGTTTTCACAGCAAGTCGGTTACAGAGATGGGCAACCGTACTGCTGGCTTACGATTTCAGTATACAATACCGATCTACACAACAACTCGGCCAAGCTGACGCTCTATCTCGCCTCCTCAGTTCCCACTTGAAGGAAAACGATGACTGCGTGATTGCATCTGTCAAATTCGAGTCGGAAGTTCAGCGCATCCTGGTTGACAGTGTAAGGGAGTTGCCAGTAACGTCGGACACGATTCGTGCAGAGACGGCTCAAGACGATATCTTGCTGAAAGTGATAGGGTTTGTGCAGTCCAGTTGGCCTAATGTCAGAATTTCGAATGAGTTACAACCTTTCTTTAATCGACGCGGATCCCTTTCGGTCGTTGACAATTGTCTAATGTTTGGAGACCGAGTCGTGGTACCAAGGAAGTTGCGGAAGCGAATACTACAGCAGTTTCATTCAGGACATCCGGGAACCAGCCGAATGAAGGCACTGGCGCGAAGTTTTGTGTATTGGCCTCAAATGGATGCAGAAATCGAGCAGTTCTGCCAAAGTTGTGAATCTTGTCAACAAGCGGCAAAGGCACCTCCGAAATGTTCGTGGCACCCTTGGCCCGAGTCGAAGAAGCCCTGGCAGAGAATCCACTTGGATTATGCGGGACCAATCAACGGTCAATCTTATTTGATTTTGTTGATTCCTACACAAAATGGCCCGACGTGATTCCGATGCAAAATCCCACCGCCCAGCACACTATCAATGAGCTGAACAAACTGTTCCAGTATTTTGGCACCCCGGAGATGCTGGTTACAGACAACGGAGCCCAGTTCACCTCAACGCTGTTCCGAGAATTTTGCATGCAAAACGGAATCCAGCACAAGTTTTCGCCGCCGTACCATCCACAATCGAATGGGCAAGCCGAACGGTTTGTAGATACCTTTAAACGTGCTCTTCTCAAAGCGGAAGGAACGAGGGTGTCACGAGATGCAATTCAGCCGTTTTTGAGAATGTATCGAAACACTCCGAATCCAAACACACCGGAGGGTAAATCTCCTTCTGATTGTCTATTTGGACGAAAAATTAGAACGACATTTGATAGCCTGATTCCCAGAAATGTTGGAAAACGCAACGGACAACCGAGAGAGGGGCAGGATAACAGGCTTCGCACGTTCAAGATTGGCGACTTGGTGTATGCACGAAACTTCCAGACCCCGGAAAGATGGGTTAGCGGAACGGTTAGTGGAAAGAGGGGTAAAGTTATTTATGAGATAATGGTCGGAAAGGACAAGTGGACCAGACACATCAATCATCTACGACAGCGGCATGGCAAAACTCAAAGACATCAAGAACCAGCGGCACCACAGTGGGACATACTACTGGATACATTTGGTTTAGAAAACAGAACTGATCTCCAAAGCGGAACACAGCCGGTCGCACAGACGCCACACGACGTGACATGCAGGCCAAGTCGAAGAAGAAGGCAACCGCGATGGCTACAAGTGGACCCCAGGGTAAAAAGCTACGACCAAGCCCAAGTGCGGAAAATAGGTAGGAGCAATCAATTCAAAGGGGGAGGTAATAGAGAGGTAAGCGGAGCCAATGTCCAGATACGAGGTCGCGCACAGGCTTACCGCGGAGCACGTGAGCTGTCTGCTGCATGCGAAGGTCACCAGCACGAGCGTGGAACGACCTTCGACTGTTTTGCCAAATTTGGGAATCGGGTGCAAACTGATTGGCCAGCAAATACAAGCCCGAGTCAACGGAGGCGAACCATTCTGCCAAATATGGAAAATCCGTGGGACGGAATTAACTCACATTGGCTGAGAGCCAAACGCTTCCAAAATTAGTATGTTTCGTTCACCAATAAATAGAACTGACCTATCGTGTAGAATAGACTCCCTGTTTACCGAGCCTTGGCCTTCTGTATCCCGTCGGTTGGTTGGGCGCGTGACTGAGCAATCAGGCGGTCGTAGTCTCGCAGGCGCAGAATAGCAGCAGTGCAGCAGTACGAAGGCAGCTTTACAACAGCTTCCAGCTTTCATTGTCGAGCGGCTCGTTGAGCCTCTTGAACGTGCATTGTGTTGGGAACAGATCCTTACTGGGTAAGCGACCAGTAAACTCATACGACAGGCTGCCGAATGGCTGCGTCTTCGCAGAACGACTTTGTTTCTCGGCCTCTACGCGGATCAGGTTTTCACTTCATTTACCTGCTTTTATTTCCGTGCGATTTTCTCACAGATTTCTGCTCGTTAACATACTTTTCAATACTTCACCGGCATGCGCTACTTCTGGGAGCTGCTTCTTATCACCCTCGATGTTTTGTATGACCTAACTGTCAGGCCTTCTGGGGTTGGTATTCAAACCGAACTGTTTCTCCTCCATTTCGGTGCTTTACATAGACCATCGTATAACCGAGGTGTTCGCCGATTGAACATCTTTCACATCATGGTTTTGGCACAATGTCTTCATCCTCCTTCCCGCTGTCGTTCAATATATCTTTTCTGTTTCCATTCTACATGTTTACTTGAAAACGAGCAGTGTTGCTTGTCGGATCTTTCGCTCCAGTTCCCTTTTCTTTGATGTGACTTCTCTTTTGACGGGCATCTAATGACCGACCGCATCCGTATTGATGGGCTTTTCTTCATAGAACGTGGTCGCGAAACCAATAGGGGCCTTACTTCCATCTTTCTACCCAATTGTGGAATCTGCGTCCTGTAAACCTAATATTTTCGATCTGTTGCCTTTCATTTTTTCTCTCTAGCATCCCTTTCTTCTTTGTTCTCTTGATGATTCCACTCAAATCAACGCTCCAATGTACCAATTGCTGTCAAAATGGTCCAGGTACAAATGTGCGGTCAGAACACAAATAATGACTTCACAGTCTCTAGTTCTATGCTGCATCGTACGCTAATAGCCGAATTAACTCCCGTGTGCCCTTTCCAAATATGTTCCACCGAATCGATTTTATTCTTCGTCTCCTAACACTTTCTAAGCAATCTTAACACACCCACACTCGTTTTCAGCCGCTATCGCTTTGGATGCTGGCCTGGATGTTGTGGATCGCGTATTCGGTGCCGTGCTGTTCGGTGATGAGGCTCGGATTCATCGTGTTTGGGTACGCATTCCACCGCATCCGCTTCAGGCCCAGTTTCCAAACGGGGATCGATCATGGGCTGCGAATGTTCCCATGCTAAAGGTGAGCAAACTCATGCAACCGGGATTCATTATCACCTGGCTGCTCTTTCTCCTTTACACACTTAGAGTGATCTCGTCGATGCCTCGCTATACCGCACTGTCCCGCGTTCATCTTGCTTTTGCCCATCCATTCACCCCCTTCTGCCAACGTACTATTCTTTTTTTCCTGTGGTTGCGTCTTTACTTGATGTGCACCGGCCTAGGAAGATCGAAAGGCGCCAAGTCTTGAACACTCAGCTGGTCTGGACGCCATTGTTTGCCTCACTTTATAAATTTCTCACTCACCTGCTCGCTCACTCTCACAATCTGATCACTTTCCGAGGAAGCTCTTTTTCCTCAGACCATCGGCCAAGTCACCAATTCTTCATGTTTGGGGACTTGCTGTTTCAAGGTAACCCGTTACAAACCGACTTAGTCTGATGGTCATCACACATCTGAGGAGCCGGTGTATAGTCACTTTGACTACCCATTGTTGCACAATCTCGAGCACCCTGTGATTTGAATCCACAGCCCTCTTCTAGAGGATCATCCATCTTAATTCTACTCTGCGGGATTTAGTTGGTTTTATGGTATAGCACGTTTCTCCAATAGTCTAAACGCTTCTGATTTTAACTAGGTTGAATTGGCTCATTGCGGACCCCTCCATAACACAAGCTACTTTACTGTTACTGATATTAAGTAAGTAATATGTTGTTTAGAGAATTTCGTGGCATTCACCAGTTATCCTCCGACAACCGACTCCCAGATAAGCGCTGGTTTACAATTTCGCTCACTTGGGACCCATCCGATGTGTGCATTCTTAGATCAGGATGCAGTCTGCCTGCCTGCGTGCAATGACTAATGTTTATAAAAGCCGCGGTCGATTCTTTTTCGGTGCAATCTAGTGCGACCCCCTCTCCATTACTGATGCATTTCTAATTTGCCATAGATGTTAAACTATAAGTGAACAACTTGCTTCGTCGACTTGATTAGCCTTATTTGACTAGTAGTGCAACGTGCGGAAGTGTGCCTACCAAATCAAACGTGCTTTTTCTTTCACCTGACCATAGGGGCATCTGTGTCGATGCACACTACATAGAACAAAATGTCCGAGTGATCATGCGCGTTCCATCACATAAGCACTCTAGTTTCCTTGTCTCTACGTCCGCTCTAACCTTTTTCAAAATGGGATACGTTTACTGCTTCTGTGCTTTTCCGCGGGCCTTATGAGAGAACATGTTTTTGGTAATGCTCGAGAAGGGATAAGTAACCAATGTTGCATAGGCCGTGACCACGATAAATCGACTATGGAAAATCTTTTGTTTCCCAATTCGGTATGCGCAGTTAGTTCTGCAACGGAGGTTCGTGTCTCCTACTCTGCAAGCCCTTGGAGGCATGCTACCTGTAGTCCAACCCATCAGCGTCGGATTCTAGTGATTTCTGACGCTTAGCACTAAGGAGCTACGGTATGTGTAACGTCTACATCATTAAACTACAGCGCACTTTTCAAGCTTGCCATTGAAGCACTATCTGAAGCTGGGATGCACAGTGCAACATAACAGTGCAGTAAACACAGAATGGGCCTCACTGACCATTATCCTTACTTCTGGGTTTGAATCTCATCGCTTGACCAACTTCCCGTGGAACTTGTATGTGTGCGTACGGAGCAACGCTAGACGCTGTCGATTTGTGGTTGACACTAACGCTTCGATTGGCTGCAGTGCCTTTTGCCGCCGATGTAACACAGTGCTGCGCAGTACTATCAGCTCAATTATCCTTCTTGTTACCGGTCTTGTAGACGTTACTTAGTTCGTCTATGCCAATTTATCTGGTAGTTTCGGGCTAATTTCAGAGCGCATGGACAGTATATATATATATATATATATATATATATATATATATATATATATATATATATTCACAGTCTGTTAACAGACATTGTGCCATCAGAACCATGGCAGAAGAAAAAGAAGTGGAGAAGATAGAATCACGAATTGCGATTAAAAAATGAGAAACGATTTTTTGGTTTTGCACACGCCAGTTTGACTTTTTTGTTTCGTGTTTTGTGTGTGTATTAAATGGGGGACATACTAGCAGAACAACCTTGATGCCACTGCTTCCTGTTGCGGGCCATGACGTCCAATGTTTCCAACCACTGAGATTCATCATCTCTTGGTCCCCAACCTGGAAGGCGGACTGGTCTGACTGCCGCCAAACTTGGGGTTGCCTTCTTCATGCTCCTTCTTTACCTCTTTGGCTGTCCACCGCGGCACTTTTTCCAATCGCCTCCTGGGATTGCAAATAGCGCTCGACGTGGAAGGCAGTGGGTTGACATATGCAAAACGTGCCCTAGCCAACGCATGCGGCATCGGCGAATAGCATCCTGTAGACTGGCACTACTCGCTCCAAGCAATCGGTCTTGCGCCTCTGTGTTGCTTACCTGGTGTTGCCACCACACTCGAGCAATCCTTCCTAGGCAGCGATTGTCAAAGACTGATAGCCGCTTCATGTCTTCCGAGCGAATAGACCAAGTCTCACAGCCGTACAAGAGTACTGCACGGACGGAAGCATTGTACACCCTGCCCGTGAGCTTGAGACTGACATCACGACGACGCCACAGGTGTTTCAGTTTGATGAATGCAAGGCGGGTCTTTGCAGTCCGTTGTGAAACTTCATCTCCAACCCCGCCATCAGCCGTGATGCAACTCCCTAGATAAGTAAAGCAAGTGACTTGCTCCAGAACATGACCAGCAATAGTGAGCGCGGGTTCAGGCACCTGCCAGTTCTGGAGCAGCGTTTTATATTTTCCCGGAGTGAAGTATAAGCCGTACTTACACGCCTCCATCGCTAAGCGGTCCAGAGCGCTCTGGACGGTTTGTTGGTCGTCCCCCAGTAAAGCGATATCATCGGCGTAGTCCAAGTCCGTGACTGTGTCTCCAGGGAGTAGCTCAACACCGCAGTTCTGGACATCTTCCAGTGCTCTTTCGACAACATCTTCGATGGCGAAATTAAAGAGGAAACGTGAAATAGGGCAACCTTTGCGAACACCGATGGTCACAGCAAATGAAGAAGAGAGCGTGCCGTAAGCCGTGACTTTGCCCGACGTGTGACTGTAAAGTTCTTTCAGAATGTTTACAAACTTGTAGAGCACATCTTTCTTCAGTAAACAGTTCCACAACGCAGGTATGTCCACTCAATCAAATGCCACTCGGATGTCCAAAAACACTACGATTTTTGGCCGCTGCTGGATGTGACGAAGTTCGAATAGCTGGCGGAGCGTGAAGATTTGGTCGGTGCATCCGCGGCCTGAACGAAATCCGGCTTGTTCTTCCCGGGAAAACTCCGATCTACTGTGTCCCCAGACGTTACACACGGGCAGTCAGATATCGCCTGCTGTCGACAGCAGAGGCGATCGCAATTCGGCTCTATTACCCGGACCTATGTGCACAGAAAAAGCTCGTCCATACTTTAACCTTGCCTTGGCCTCAGATCAACGCGACTAACAATGGCAGTCACGCCACTTCACTTGACCTCGCCTCAATCTGACCGTACACGTAGACTTATCGATTAGTTACTCTGCTTCAGTGACCCAATTTAAACTCATTGTGTCTATTCTATCTTGCTTTATTGTGGTTGTATTACCCTGATGATGAAGCCCTGAAAACAAGCTTGTTGGCTACTTTCTGTTTCTGATGTCCTCTCTAGTCGTCGAAAGCCTGCGAAGTAGGACAGACACGAAGATTTTGGATGCGACAGAGCTTAATGAGATTCCGCGGTAGTTACAGCAATCGTCGCGGGAGCCTTTCTTGTGAATCGGAACAATGACCGATTCTCCCCATGAATTCGGAACCTTCTCCTCAGTTCAAACTTTCGTGAACAGCGATAGGATTTCGCTGACAAGTATGTTCCCGCCATCTTTGAATAGAGCCGGTGGTAGGCTGTCGGGACCCGGAGCTTTGTGACGTTTCACAGATTGGATTTCATTTCGGATCTCTGCTTCAGTTGGAAAGCCTGTAGTGACAGGCCAAGCACCATCCATTGATACTGGAGGTGCCACAGGGGCTGTGATGGGTGGTTGAATTGAAGAGCGAAATGCTCTGCCCACCGACCCAATCGCCTGTGAAGCTTGGTGATCCTCGTGCCGTCTGATTCGCAGATCGTCTGACTGATAACGTGGGAATTGCAACTGGTGACCCTGATGTCTGGTCCGTTAATCGGACCAGACACAACTGCTGATAATTCACAAGTAAATTTTGATTTTTCGTAATTCGATAAAGTTGCACAGAAACCTTTCTACTTGCTCTTAACTACAGTCTCAGTGTCTGGCGTTTATCTTGACTTTCGCTGACACGATGGACGTCTGAGTGTCACATAGTGTCTTCCGGTCTCTAGGCAGAGATGGATCCAAATTCGTCATAACGTTGTGGTTCTTTCCTTGACTGCTGCTCGCATAATTGCACGCAGCTTACTTCTAATGACTCTCTAGTCTGTCGCAGTTTTTTCTCAGAGCACATTCCACGAAATATGGTCACTAACGCTCCCAAACTGCCGGCTAGCTCTATTGCTCAACACGTGCTGGATTGCACAATGTGCCAACGTCCTCGTGATTTGTTTAAAGTAATTAACCTACAGAGCAATGCCCGATTGCTTCAGTTTGCCGAAGCCTCAGCTAACCGGCGGCTTAAGTCCAATTTGTGCAAGCAGACTGAAGTTACAGCAAGCCTCGCCCTACCTTGGTGAGGTTATTGATCGTTTTCCTTTGAACTGAATAACCTTGTACATTGCTTCCCCTTTTGTACGCAACGCGATAATTGCACCAACGTGTGTAAACAGCTGACGAGAACACTCGAAATATCTGAATTCAGCGTATCCAGTTAAAATGTTTTTTATTCTTGCTATTTTGAAATTTGTGAAGGAAAAATCCTGCATGAAATTATACAATATTTGGTAATAATTTTTATTACCTAAAAGACGAATACATCTCTGCAAAGCAGCATAGCTAGATTGCTTCTCTATCGGCTC